TTCCCATGCAGCTCTTCAGTTCCACACCCCCGTCAGAGCTGCCTCTTCACCTCAGAAATAGCCCAAGGCCACCCCCATTCTCTCTCTCTGCCCAGGGGAAGCTCAGTGCTTCCTGACTGCCGATGCCTTTGCCATCTGTTGGTGCCTTAGTGCTTTCTTATATAGCCCACATATGTGAGGTTTATTTTTATTGTGGACACTGTGACTGCTACACACATATAATGAATAATAAACCTTGAAATTGCACAAAAGTGTAAATCAATGAGGTTGACAAATTTGTCCAAAAAACTGCATTTATTCTACATATATATGTTGATGATAATATGAGTAATTTTACATTGATACATTTTAAGATTTATATGAAATAGTAAGTCCTATAAATATACAATTTAGCAAGTGTGAGGAACAGTTCCCACCAATATACAATTTAGAAAGAAAAAGGATAATTAAAAAAATTGAAAATTACAATATATTTGAATTGGCCTATAAAAATGTGGTTTATCCTTAAAAAGTAATGTTTTACATTAGAACATATTATACTATAGATAATGCTAATTATTAAGTTAAAGTAAAACTCTTTAGATGTGAAAAAGCATCTGAATAGACATAGAAAGAATATTCATAATCAATGAGACTTAATTCATTATGCTAAGGTATAAAACCCTTTGCAAGCTAGGAGTAAGCAAAACTTCCTAATCTAGTAGAGGAACCATAAGCGCTGCAAGTGTCATACGTGATGTAAAGTGTTGAGAAGTTTATCTTGGCTTTTAATGTTTAAAATGTTTAAATTTTCTTGCAAAACTGGTTTCAAAGCTATGAGTTCGATTAGTTAATGCTTGGCCATGAAGCTCTGTATGTTTCCACCAAATATGAGTGATAATCTGGCTGGGGAGTATTCTTGGTGAGGTGCTTATTTCTTTGATTTGTTTTTACTATGTCCCCAATTCTCATCTGACCTGTAGAGTTTTATTTGATAACTCTGCTGTGACTGGGAGTTCCTTTGTGGGAAAGCCCCCCCCCCCCCCACACACACACTTTTTAAAAAAATTTTGCTGCTTCCAATATTCTTTCTCTGTCTTTGGCTTTTATCATTCTGGTTAGAGTGTATCTTGGAGCTTTAGAGTTTTTCTATTTTGGGACTCTTTGCAGTGGAACCCTTCTGACTTCTTGGACCTGGGTGCCAGCACTCCTCAATTCTGGGAAATTCTTATCTGTGATATCGTTGACTGATGTTCTTTGGCTTTGCTTCCTGTTCCTCGGGACTAAGATGATTTGGCTGCAGGAGCGGGTGGGGCTGTCTGACTTTCCTCTAGGCTTTTTCCTGACTCCAGGCTCAGGGATCACTCCTGGTTGTGCTTGGGGGACCATCTGGGGTACCAGGATAAAACCATGTCTACGATGTGGAGGTTTTGCCTTACCTGCTGTGCTCTCTGCTCCTGGTGATTCTTACTTTGCTCTTCTTGAACTCATTCCATAGTTTTTTAGTTTCCTACTCATTTCTTTTCAGAATTTTTACCATCCTTTTTGTTGTGGTTAAGGACCATGACAAAGAATCCAGGTCAAGGATATCATCAAGGAATACTTCAAATGCAATAAATAAATGGGAGTTTGGGCTCTTACAAAAAGGGAGAATGTTTCCCATCTTGTGACGTTTTCTAGAGGCTTTCTGCATCTCATCTTAGAGTTCAGTGATTTTTCTTCAGCTGTTCTTGCTCTTTTGTTGAGGCCTTCTATTGGGTTTTGTATTTCACCTACCCTAATCTTCAGTTCTGTTGCTTCTTATTCTGTTTTTTATTTCTGCTCTCACAGCTTCTTGTGATTCATTCATGACCTGTATGTTATTTCTTTTTTTAAAAATTTATTTATTGAATCACCGTGATAAGAGTTACAAAGCTTTCAGGTTTACATCTCAGTCATACAGTGATCAAACACCCCTTCCCTCACGAGTAATTATTTTTCACCACCAAGAACCCAAATATACCTCCCCTCTGAACCCTCCTGATGCCTGTGAGGCAGAAGATTTCTACTTACCTCTCTCTCTAATTTGAATACATTCATTATTTCAACAAAAGATGAACTATTATTGTTTGGAATTTCCCCCAACAATCAGAACTGCTGAAAAGGCATTGTGAAATAATTTGTTTTCTATTGCTGGTTGTGAAAATCCTATGATGTCGCTATAGCAGCCACGCGATTTTGGATTTCTGATACTTTATTAATTAAATCTGGAGGGATTTCTGCCCAGAGCTGGATAATTATGAGATTGGTTTGTGTGTGTCTAATGTCATGGATGTGCCAGAGAGCCAATCGTGGGGAGCAACTCATGGCCTTGGTTGGACGTGAAGCTGGTTCCGCTCCCCTTCCCATGTGGCTGCAGTTGCCCTGTCACCACCAGCTCATACCTGACTTTCCAATAATCTCTGAGGCAGTGGCCACCGTGCTGCTGGGGTGGGGGGGGGAGGCGGAAGAGACAGACACCCTTTCCCTCCCGGGGGGGGGGGGGGCATGGCAATGGCACTGGAGTTTAACACATAGTCCATTCACATTTCTGCTGCAAGCTGCTAGGCTCCGAATTAGTTCCATGTGCCTCTGGTGCCATGGCTGTGCCAGAGAGCCGCTCCTGTATGTTGTTTCTTTGAGCCCATGAAGCAACCTAAACACGGTGTCCCTGTGTTTGTTCTCTGAGGGGCTCAGCTCACTGTCCTCACTGCCTCGTTCCGTGCCTTACTCCCTCCGGAGCTTGGTGGGCTTCTCAGGGGCTTTCCCCAGTGCCTGCTCTGACCTGAGACTGAGCGGCTTGTTCCCACAGGGGCTCTCTGAGTAACCAGCCTGTGTTGCACTGCACCCTTCTTCCCCCACTCATGGTAGGAGGTTTGAGTGTGCATGTTGGGAGTCGCAGGAAGTCCACCTGTATGGCCCCAGGAGTGGCCACCAGGCACCGGTGACAAGTGGCAGCTCTGGGGGTTACTTGCTCTGGATACGGATGGACTTGGGCAGTATCCCTTGGGAAACAATGAGCAATTAGAATGTGGGTTCAAAGCATTCGTGAATCCTATTGTTACCACTTAGAGATAAACATATCTGGTAGATAATTATGAAATTATAGCCTTAAATTTATACAATGATATATATCCCTTATATAACCATAGAGTGAGAAAAATTGAAAGGACTTTTATATAAATAAATTCATTACACAGCAAAATAAAATTAAAATTTCTTACTGTGTTTAATAGTTAAATCATATAATAGTTAAGTCATATAATAGTTAAATAAATTATTATGCTTGTCTCCTGGAGTTTATCAGTCATGACTTTTATTGTGTACAGAGTGACTTCTACATAATAAACTTTGAAATGGCACAAAATTGTAAATCATTGAGGTTGACAAATTTGTCCAAAAAACTGCATTTATTACATTGATATATTTTTTGAAGATTTACATGAGATAGTAAGTCCTATAAATATACAATTTAGATTATAATAGTGCTATAAGTATACAATATAATATTTAGTATTATGTTTCAAAGTCAATTTGTATGTTTAAATTATTGATAGGATAATTTAATGCAATGAGGAAGTTGGAATAATTTATTTTTTATAGTAATTCTTGAATAATATTTTTTCAATTGGTATAAAAAGTGATGGAGAGGTATTACAGCAAATAGGCTGCTCCCCTTGTGGGCAGTGTTAGTTTCTTACATGTAGTATCTGATTGTCCCTGAACCATTTGTTGAGGAGGCCACCTTTCCTTCATTTCATGTTCTCATGTCAAAAATTATCTGCCCATATGATTGGGGTTTTATTTTAAGGTTTTCCATTCTGACCCACTGATTGGGTCAGATCAATGGGTGAGAATCATATTTCAATAGTTCTTTATTTCTGAATTTATTATCTTACCAAAGTTTAAAAAATGTCTACTTTTTAAATTTTTTTAATTTCTTAAAATTTTACTTTTTTATTGAATCACTATGAGATAGACCCTTAAGAAAACTGTTTATGATTCTATTTCAGTCATACGGTATTCCAGCACCCATCCCTCCACCAATGTATATTTGCCAACACCAGTGTCCCCAGGTTCCCTCCCATTACCCCTTACCCCCCCACTCCCTGCCTGCCTCTATGGAAGGTGCTTTTCTACTCTCTCACTCTCCCCCCCCCCTTTTGGCATTGTGGTATGCAATATCAATACTGAAAGGTTATCAAGAATATCCCTTACCTATTTTTAACCCTCAGATCTTTTCCAGTATGATCAGTCCTACCTACTATTGGTATACTGTTCTCTTCTCTATCTTACCTACCCTCAGCCCCCCACACACTTTTGGTTAGATCCAATCACTGACCAGTCCTCTTAACCCCTGTTTTCCCTGGCCCTGGATATTAAAAAGTAGTATTCTACTATAGATTATTTTTATATACCACAAATGAATGAAGTAATTCTATATCTTATATCTACCTTTAATACCATTTTTGATCATCTACCTGGACATTTCACATGAGGTCGTGTTAATGCATGTGTAAGGAGTTGGGTTGGTATTTATTCAGCAGCAAGAATCCAGAATCTCAGTTGGGCTCACTTTGGCTTGGAAAGGGTGTCAGGACATCAGAGCAATCCCAGGGATACCAGAAGTCTTGCCAAATACCAAAGGGTCTAGTCTGATCCTCCAGCTATGCTTGGGCCCAGTTTTCTCCCTGAATCCATACAGCTTGTCTCCTGCCATGTCCTTGAGAAGAATTTGGTGATTTTGATGCATATTTTCCCTCGTGGGTACCTGGGTATCTGGTTTGTCCCAGAACCTAGAAAAAAAGCAGAGTGTAAAGTCTAGAATTTTTCTGAGACAAATATAAGAAAAAAATAATACTCTTGATAGTTGTGCTAGTACTATCCTAGTGTGTATATTATCCTAGAACTTTTAGAAATTTGCAAGAGTACTTATTACTAAGTTTTCCCTTTATATAATTTCCAGACTATAATATGTTCTTTTTGTCTTTTTTCACCTCAAGGGGTGCTACATCCATTGTGTACAGATGCAAACAGAAGGGGACTCAGAAGCCTTATGCCCTCAAAGTGTTAAAGAAAACAGTAAGTTTATTTCATTACATGTTGGCATGTTATTTCACTATAAGATAGAGTGTCTAAGGGATATTTGACCTGGAGGAGCTAGAACCTCCAATTTTAAGGAGCAAGGGACAAAAGCACGGCTACGTTCCATCTGGTTTTGAAAGCACAGCAAATTAAAGGTGGCTGGGCTTCAAGCTGGACTTGCTTATTGGCAGGACACTTGTGAGAGGGAAAAGCATTTAGGCTGGTGGGTGAATTGGTTTGAAAATGTGTGTATATTATTTCTCATCACATGTTAATGATTTTGAAAAGCTTGCTTTTTTTAAAAAAAAATGCCTTGTGGGCCACACTAGTGATGCTCAGGGTTTACTCCTGGTTCTGCACTCATGGATCACACCTGGCGGTATTTGAGGGACCATATAGGGTGCCAGGGATTGAACATAGGTTGACTATATGCATGGCCCTACCCACTATACTATTGCGCCATTTTAACTGCTCAGTGAAACACAGATAGTTTTGTTAAAGTGCTCATCCTCTTTTAATTTGCTTAAACTTTCGAATACTGGCTTTGCATGAGTCAGGTACAATTGAGCAAGTGCTAATGCTTCTGGAGTGCAACTTAACACCTAATTTTTGGTATTGAGCAATAAAGAAGGATTTTACTTTCAGACTATATTGCCCTTTACTTCTAGGTGTTACCAAGGTAAAAGAGCCTTAATTTTATCTTTGAATGAATGATAATTGGAGCAGGTAAGAGTTCAGAATAGAAAGAACAGCTCTGATAGAAGAGCCCATGCCAAGAATCCTGGTCTCTGCATCACCTTCTTTGCACTTTCTGTATTTCTTGTCTGAAACCAAAGAGAGACTTCCTAAACCATTGAAGCATCCTTTCCCCCAAGCTTTATGTGAACAAATATGTGAATATATGTGCTTCTGAAAATCTAGTGTAAAGCACACCAGCCAGTATCATGTATTTTTGGATAATTCAAGTAATACTTATTTTAAACCAAGAGATGTTTTCCCCTCAAGGCTGATTAGTATCACAAGCTGTTCTTTAGTGTCTGGAAGAGGGAAATTTTACAGTATCATATAATGAATAATAATGCAGGGGCTTTAATTGAACATAAGTAGAATGACATTTTGTAGAATTTATGGCCATTACAAGTTAGTAAATATAGAAGTTAGAAAAGATAAAACTTAACAAAGATTGAAGGAGGTAATAATTTAAATTGCTACTGATAAATTCTATTCTGGGTACCTTTTATTATCAATTTATTTCAGAATGCAGAAGACTCTTAATAAGTTGTAGAAATTTTTCTAAAAAATATATTTTCTTCTTTTTATTTATTTATTTACTTTTACATTTTTAGTAGTGAAACACCACTTAGGTACAGTTGGAGACTTACAAATTTTTGTGCTTGGGTTTCAGTTATACAATGATAGAGTAGGAGTACTGCTATTTATTCAGCCACTGATTAGCTGATTGAATTGGGCGTGAACGTCACCTTACTATTTTTTCATAATTTTTTTATTGAATCACCGTGAGAGCAGTTATAAAGCTTTCGGGTTTAAGTCTCGGTCATACAATGAAACACCCGTACCTTCACCAGGGCCCATTCTCCACCACCAAAAACCCCAGTCTACCCCCATCCCACACCCTCCCCCTACCTGTGGGGCAGATGATTTCCATATTACTCTCTCTCTCTCTACTTTGATTACATTCATTATTTTGACACCAGACCCTTCATTATTATTTGGGATTTTACCCCAACACTCAGATCTTCTGAAAAGGCAACAGTAGACAATTTTCTCTCTATTGCTGGTTATGAATAACATATGATGTTGCGTGGCTACAGTAGTGGCCACACAATTTTGAAATTTCAAAATTTTCACATTTAAATCTGTAGAGATTTCTGCCAAAACCTGCTGGATTCCGAGATTTGTTCCTGAGTCTCTAGGATTATGGCCTTTATTTAGCTTGATCAGGAGCCAGAAAGGCTGTTCATGGGCAGCAACTCAGGGTCTTGTTGGGACGGGAAGAAAGGGCCGGCTCTACCCCCATTCTATGAGGCCCCGCATGTCTCGTCACTGAGGCCCAAACCTGACTGCCCAGTGGCCTCTGGAGGATGGTGGCCAGCGAACCGCCTAGGGGGAGCAGGTGGAGGAACAGCACCCTTTCCCCCCTGGTGTGGCCCGGCAACAGTAACCTACTGCGGGGTCCAGACGTATTTCTGCCAAAAGCCACTGGGTTTCAAGATTTGTTTCTGAGTCTCTAGGATCATGACCATTAAGCAGCTTGATCAGGAGCCAGAGAGGCTGTTTGTGGACAGCAACTTGGGGTCTCGTTGGGGTGGAAAGGAAAGGCTCCACCCCCATCCCGTGAGGCCCCTCGTGTCTCGTCACTGTGGGCCCAAACCTGACTGTCCAGTGGCCTCTGGAGGATGGCATTCACTGGGCTGCCAGGGGGAATAGGCCAGGGCATGAAACTTATTCCCACCTGGAGTGGCCCAGTGCCAGTAACCTACTGCAGGAACAGGATGCATTTCTGCCAAGAGCCATTGGGTTCCGAGATTCGTTTCTGAGTCTCTGGGATTATGGCCGTTAAGAAGTTCGATCAGGAACCAGAGAGGCCATGCCTCCAATATATATATATAGGAGGTGGTTTGTGGGTGTGTCTCCCACATACTTAACTTTTGGCCATTTACTTTCTTGCTAAACTTTGCCCAAAGTTTTTGGGGTCTGGCCAAAGGCACAGTAGCAATTCTGGGGTATCTGAAAGTCTGACGGTGCCATCAGGCTGCTGATGCACTCGCCTCACAGGTACAGATTGACCTGCTGGCAGCAACATACCCCCCCCACACACACCAATATTGTTTTTTGGGCCACATTTGGCTGTGCTCTGGCTTACTCCTGGCAGTGAGGGTCAGTTGAATGCAAGGCAACAGCCTTAACCCTTGTACTATCTCTTTGGCCCTAAAATAAATGTCTTAAATAAGTGATTAACTTCATATGATTTAAGGCTTAGTGAAAATTTTCTGAAGTAAATTATTCAGTTTAAATATATACCCTTTATAAAATTTGGCACACTTTACATGTCATACATGGAACATTTTAAAATTTGGTTGATAAGAAAAATTGTCTGTAAAATTTGCGTAATTTTTTTCAGAGTTGAGGAAACTTTGAAGGGAAAATAATACAAACCGACATTTATTTAGACATGATTTGTGAATGAGGAAAGTAGTTTCAAAGGAGCAAGGGCTGATGAAGTGACTACTGGCTTACATCAGGAAATTTGGGATGAATGGAAATAAGTAGGTGAAGACATTGGGTAACTTCATACTTCTTATTCTTCAAGAATGTACAGTGTTGATTCCCCTTCTGTCTCCTCATCACCTCTACTGTGGAAACCACTTTCTTAGAAGACAGACAGGGTGAAATGCAGAGGGAAGCAAATGTCAGATGAAACAGAAGAGTGAACAGTGAGACGGATTTTTGTCAAACAGTTATTGCTGTGCCAAATAGAAAAACCCTTACAAAAACCTCAGCTTTGAACATGAATTTGATAGAGTCTGCATCAATGTCTTATAGAATAAACCGTGCACAGGAATGTGTAAGCCAGAAAAATCATGGATAGGACCTCAAAGACTGATTACCTCATTATATAATTTCATGTCATGAGACAGAGATTTCTTTATCTAGATGAAAGGAATGAAACAATAAGAATCAATTTGAAGAAAAAGCAACTCAGGGATCATATTTTCCTAGCAAATTTTGTTAAGGTCCATTCTTTTTTCTTCTTATTTTCTTCTCTTTTATGGGGGCCCGATTCCTGTTTCTCCATTCCCCTAGACCTTCACCCGTTGTCCACCACCACCGTGGACCATCAGCTGTCAGCCTCTGAACACAAGAGTCCTCTGCACACGCACATCACACCTTTTTTTGGGGTGGGGGGGGACTTACAATGCACTGTCTCATCCCTGCTATATTTTTTCCTATGAAGATCCCCCCCCACCCTGCCCCGAGCAGAGCCCCAGCAGCTGAGGTCCTCTGGAACCAGCCACGGCCATGCTGGGACCACTCTCCACATGTCCAGACGGGCCTCATGCATGAATGAACTAGCAGAGGAACCCAGGCACGCGTGTCCCGGGGCTGAGGTCTCCAAGCCTACTCGGATTGGGACTGGGCCTTCTCCAACCAGACCCCCCATCTTTCAGTAGGTAGGCGTCACGCCCAGCAGCTGCCGCCAGCACCAGGTTGGTCCCATCAATGGCCAAGATGCAGAGACTATAAAACCCAGCTCCTGGAAGACATCGTATTATCTTATTTTTCCTTTGGAGAACCTGGCAGGCTACCAAGAGTATCCTGCTTGCACGGCAGAGTCTGGCAAACTCCCCGTGGCATACCCAATATGCCAAATACCAGTAACAATGATGGATCTCATTCTCCTAATCTTGAAAGAGCATTGAAATGGCTCTTTTAAAATCTCAGGGCTAGGAAGAAGGAGACGTTCCTGGTGCCTGCTCAAGGAAATCGATGAACAACAGGATGATCGTAATCGTGATTTTCTTCTTTTTAATTTAATTAATATTATTATTTTTACATAATATGTAAAAATGTTTATGACTGTTTATGACTGGGCTTTAGAACATTCTAACACCCATTTCTCCACCAGTCTAATTTCCCAGCACCAATGTCCCCAGTTCCCTTCCCACTCCTCCACGCCCCACCACCACCCACCCACCTCTCTATGGCAGGCACTTCTCTCTCTCACTCTCTCCCTCTCTCTCTTTCTCTCTCTCATTTTAGGCATTATGGTTTGCAATACAGCTGCTGAAAAGTTATCATGAATATTCGTTTACCTACTTTCAACACTCAGTTCTTGTCCAGAGTAATCATTTTCAACTGTTGTCATAATGAACCGTCCTCTATCTTAATTTTCCTCCACCCCTCCCCCACCTCCACCACACACACACACCCTTGTGCTGATTTCCAGCTAGTGCTCAGTCCTCCTGACTCGTTTT